AGTATTGATGATAGGTTCTTCCCTAGGACCCATGACCTTTCTAGACACAGGTTCTTGTTTGTGCGTATATCTGTTGTCAGTGTGTGGACCTGCATACGTGCAGTGTTATCACCCACTTGGCAAGAGGAAAGTGTCCAGCCCCCTGGAGCTGGGGTTACAGCCAGTTGTGAGCTGTCTGACATAGGTGCTGGAATCCGGACTCAGGTCCTCTCTAAGAGCAGCAAGTGCTCTTAGCTGCTGAGCCATCTCTCCAGGCCATGAGGTTTGTGGTTTGTTCATTTGTAGTCTCAGTACTTGACATAACACTTGACATAGAATAGGAGTAATGTACCTAAAATTAAAATAATCAAAAACAATGTCTATTTTAGTGTATTGAAGGTAGCAGATGAGAGAAATAGGGAAAAACTTCAGATATTTAAAAAATTAGATTGACCATGTTTCCTCATGTATGTATAGTTATTCATACCTATGGTTTGTTTTATTTTACATTTGGAGTATTTAAAATGTGTCATATTTTAATTTTACTCTTTCCTTTGATTAGCTGGATCTTACAACTGTAACCTCATGTGAAACAGCTAACTCCATTTCCTAGGAAAGATTTAGGAAATCTCTAAAATAATACCTAAATTATTATAATTCATGCCCAACTCTCCATATAAGAATCACAAATTATAAATTTCTAAACATATTAATCATAATAGTGCAGATGCCTATCAACTCAAAAATAGTTAGATAAAATGAGGCCTACCTATTAAATGGAATATTACTTGGCAAACAAAAAATTGGCCTGGAGAGATAGCTCGGCCATTAAAGGTTAGGCTCACAACCAAAAAAAAATCACTAACCCATGTTACACTACTGATGAGGCTAAAATATACTATTGTAAGGAAAAGAAGCCATCATGAAAACCTTCATGCCATCCAACTCTGCTTATGTGAAATGTCCAGAGGGGAAAACCTGCATACATGGAAGATGGATGAATTGGATGAATGGTTCCTGGGTCCATAGGTGTGGGATTTCTTTATAGAGTAATCAGCAAGTACTAACATTGATTACAGTGGTGGATTGCAAAAGTCTGTGATTACGCTGAAGTCATTGAGTCGTGTACTTTCCTTGAGTGAACTGTGTGGCGTGTGAATTTTACCTCAATAAAATAGCCCAGCAAAATAAGACTCCTACCCCTTTGCATCCCAGCCCCATGGGTGTGAATGTTATCAGTTGGTCTAGAATTTAAGTACCCTGTCCGGAATGTTTGATATACAAACTTCTCTCATGCATTATACATTTGGCTTAAACAATAGTAGCCAGTGCCTGGGAAGAGGGCAGCTTACTCCATCACCCAGGGGTGAGAACTCTGCAAATTACCAATGGGACGGTTCACTGAAGCAGGTAATGGATTGCTCCGTGCCAGCAAGGAAGCTATGTGGAATGAGTGTGAGTGTTCATACAGTCTGCTTGCTAATTATGGCTACTTTGAACAGTATTTTAAGTGCTCTTAAGAACCCTGAAAGTCAGGGGCTTGGTCAATGGCAGGACACAGGTGGACAAACACAAAGGTGCTTAGCATTAGCAACAACCAACATGAAATCTAATGTCTACGCAACCTATGCTGTGCTCCCACTGGGCAAACACATTACAGCAAGGTTATAGACTATGTTTCCCAGTGGATTCTGTGTATGCATCTGTGCTGTATGCACATATATGTCTACTTGTGTGGCATGAGTGGGTATATCAAGACTCTGTGCCCTTCTTGTCTGGGTTAGACTAGCTGAAAGGAACCTAGAAGGAAAAATACGTGTGATGAACTCTGTCTGTGGGGACAAAGCTCGATGATTTGTATTTAGCAGACCGCGTACCACAGTCCATCAGTCTCAGAAGCGGGCTTCACCAACAAAAAGGACTGACCCACAAAAATCTTTTCAGACACCCAAGGAGCATCAGACGCTTGAGAGCTGTCACCAGGAGCTCCCAAACTCCACAACAGTCACAGCCAAACCAGTCACACTGGGACAGCCCAGTCTAAGTCTTCCCGGCTTGTTTGCCTTGCTGCACACACACATTGTCCTTGACTTCAGAAGAAGCTTCTGTCGAAGAAAACTTTGCCAAGTGAGCATCCTACACCATTCTTGTGTACAGACCAGCTCCAGGCACCCACACTTCCCATACACTTTCCTAACTGATCACTTCCCTGGGACCTGTGGCCCTATGTTTTATCTGTGTCACAGGCCACAGCACCAGAAAGGTTGTCATCCATCGCCCTGGGCTGCTCATGTTGGCCCTCAAGCTTTCCTGCTTCTGGTTTCGAAAGCTCTGTTCCAAATACACTGGTTTATTTCAAGATTTTAAGTATTCCAGTTAGATCTTTTCCCCTCACTTTTCTGTAATACATCAGCGGACATGGAGATAAAGCTATTACTAACAGCTGGTCTGGGTTCCTCTTCAAACGCATCTTTGTGAACACCCTCCATAGCTTGCAGAATATGCATATTTTCTATGCTCCACATTTGGCTCCAGAGACACTGTTATGAGTACTGTATAGTATGGTTAAAAATGTTTCGCTTTCATTTCTGAGTCTTTAATTTTATGTTTGAGCTCTGCATAAAAATAGCTTGTAATTGCTTTTTGACAGTAATAAGGCTAAGATTGTAGCTCAAATATCTGAGATATTATGCTCTTTTGTAATTGTATTCAATGAAAACATAGCTCAATATGGAGCATGAAAAAAAATCTCAGCTTGTGTAATTTGTACATTCTACCAATACCATGAAAGTTACAGCGAGATCCATGCACCATGAGGACTCAGGAATAGCGCAGTGGCTTTATAACAGGGCTCTGGTTTGGGGGTTTGGGTGGGGTTTTGAGGGTAGGTGTGCAGTGTGGCTGAGTGTATTTGCTGGTGTTTGCATGTCTGTGGATATATGTGTGTATGTGCATGTGTGTACAAGTGTGTGCAGAGACACATGGAGGCCCAAGGTTGACATCAGGTGTCTTCTTAAGTCAGACCCCACTGTACTGAAGCAGGGTCTCTCACTGAACCTGGAGCCTGACTAATCTGACTAGCTAGCTTGTTCCAGGATCTCCTGTTCATGCTCCCGTGTGCTGGGATTACAGGCAATTGCCACATCTACTGGACTCTTACATGGGTTTCACATATGTGAACTGTGGCCCTCATGCAAGCACTGCTAACACTTCATTCACTGAGTCATCTTCCCAGCACACAAGGCTCATTTTGTCAGGAGAAAGGCCACCTCCACACAAGCCACACCCCCACACAAGCCACACCCCCACACAAGCCACACCCCCACACTTGACACCCAGGTCTTCCAGGCCACTCCAGCTCACACCACGCTACTCTGTTTTCGCAAGATTATTTTTATGTGAAAGAAAGTAATTGTTTTACTAAAATGAACGATTTTTAAATGTCACGGCTGTATTTCTGGAGCTTCTGAGACTCCCATAATAGCATGGGGCCACTAGTCAGGACAGCATTGCACCCCAGCTGGGGGTACAGCCCCCTAGTCAGGACAGCGTTGTGCCTGACTGGGGATGCAGCCCCCAGTCAGAAGAGCATTGCACCAGCTGAAGGTGCAGCAGTAGACATCCAGTGCACCCCGGTTGACTGTGTGCTGAAACACTGTCTTCAAACTACAAACACATTGGTGTAGACATCTCACATCGAGTCCTTTGAAAGTTGACTAAGAAGACAGCCATAGGTGGATCACACAGAGCTAACATGCCTGATTGATGAACATCTCTCCTTGTATTGAATTATTGCCCCAGTGAAGCCTCGGTAAGTTCCAGACAGAAGCCTGCAGCTCTCCAGGATGTCCAGGACTAGAAGGTGAGTAGTCAGTCTCGTGGTTCATTTTTATCATCTATTCAACATCCTTTCAAAATTCTGTGGCAGCATGGACTTCGAGTTGCCCAGTGTCACTGGCCACTGCAGAGAGTGCCACCAGCGTCTCCTCCATGTCATTCCAGCACACATGCACCTGGCCAGGTGTGTGTTATAGCTGTCCAACTGCATTAATCCATTTTCACTACCGTCACACCATAGCCCGTGGCTGAATAATCATAAAGAAGAGACAAATGTCTCTCACAGTTCTAGAGACTGGGAAGTCCCAGGTCAAGGTACCGGGGAGTTCAGTGTCTGGTGGGGGCTGTGTTCTCTAGAAAGGAAGAACCAAGATCTTCACATGATGGACAGCAGGACAAGGGAGCCAAAGCCTTAAGTCCAGCTCCCAGGAAGACCCCACACCTGCATTTTGTAAGCGATACTGTAAGATCATCCAGCTCATGGGAGTTGAACAAGATGATGCGGCGGCCCAGACATCCACTGAACCCTCACCCTGAGGCTAGAGATAGGGAAGGCAGACCCGGGCTGTCTGCCTAGAGCTTACATTCCAGTGAGAAAAAGCAGCATGGCTCAAAGTGCCGGACAGAGCTAACGTGAGAGGAAAATGGCAAACAGCCCAGAAAGGCAGGCCACGCCTGGGTATTTCTTCTCTAGGGAAACTGCTAACTTGTGAGTGAAAGCCAGATTCTTCGAGAGTGGTCCCTGTCTGCCACCTGAGCAAGTAAATTCCAGAAGAGACTGGTTTCTCCAGGCTGTTCTCCTGTCGCAGGCAGTCTCCTGGCACCAAACAGCAACCTGGGAACATCCCAGAGCCCAGCTTCTTACCTATTCCTTACTTTACCCCTGTCCTGGGTCACTGCACCTGCTAGCCTGCCCCTCTAGCCTGCCAGGAACCTGGATGGAGGAGGATTCTGCAGCTGTCCCTTCATGCTCTTGCCCTTCCAGCTCACCTTCCAGGTCTGTCAGAATGATCTAGAATACAGCTACTTATATTGCTCCCCCATCTAGCAATCCTCCATATTCCCTTTGTTTTCAAGATGAAAATCCAGCGGGAGGCAAGAAAGGGCACAGACCATGAATAGCCATGCTCACCCAAAACCACAAGCTCAGGGTTTCCCCTGAGTTCCTGGGAATTGAGACTCACCAGTGAAGCTGGAAGCTGATTCAAGGAGGCCAGAGACAGCATGGGTGTCTCTGCTTCAGCAGAGGGAGAAGAAATGCCTTGCCACTCCCACCGTCATTCCAGTAGAGAACAAATCTGAGGGGAAAAAATGAAAACTCAGCAGATTCCATACACTGTCAGTTTGGAATAAGAGAGAGTCAACAATGGCAGTTGCATTATGTGGACACTTGTGCGTACCCAATACTCTCCCACTAGGCCAGCCTGGCTGGTGTGTTCAGAGCACGAGAACCTGGGGAGGGAAAGCTGATACAGATGAACCCAGAAGCAGAAGTTCCCTTCAGAAAAACTGCTCATCTATTTAATTCTCTTTGCATCATCCACATAGCTCTGAAACTGTGAGAAATAAAAGCCTGGAGATATCTTCTAGAAGACCCATGCCCACACTGGGGTGGAGACCCAACTACCTACAGGCTTCTCCCACCTGCAATGACTCAGCTCCACACCATCATTGCACGAGTCTAACCTCTGAGTCTCATTCCTCTTGTGGCCTCGGAATACTCTGTGGGGGTGCGGCACATGTGCTTAATGGCACATGGTCCCAGGTCCAGGTTATGAGAACTCAGCCAGAGTGCACCATCGTGAAGATAAAGATTGTCAAGGGGAAAGGACCTGTGAGTGGCAAGGAACAGCAAGGAGGAAGAGTCAAGCTCCTAGGTCATCAAGAACAGGCAAACTCAAGGGAATCATTTTTAGAGGAGCCGGGATGGCACAAGGACAGAGATAAAGGTGTGGCTTCCTTTTTTGCACCAACAGAACCATAACCTACACGCACTGCGATCCCCTGTGATGTGAGTGATGTGAGACCCGTCACGGTAGGGGTGTTAAAATAAAGGCAAGAACGCAGCCAAGTAAGATGGGCCTGGTGACGTAAACCTGTCATTCTAGCTACTCGGGAGGTTTATCCGGGAGAATCAAAGTTCATGTGCTTGAGCTCTAGAGTGGATTGTAAGTCCCGGGCAACCCAGTGAGAGATATACCTAGATATCTGGGCAAACAGCTACATACATACATATGTTGTCATAGATAAAGGTGCCAGGAGTGAATGATGGCTCAGTGGCTCAATACAACCTAGTATTGTAATTTTAAAAATATCGCGAAGATAATTCCCACCATACAACAGGACTCACATAGGAGGTTTATTGGAAGAGGAGAGAGAAGGGGCAGAAAAGGGGGAAAGAGCGGGGCGAAGACTGGTCCCTGGGGACAGGAGTGGTGGAAGAAAGAGAGAGAGAGAGAGAGAGAGAGAGAGAGAGAGAGAGAGAGAGAGGGAGGGAGGGAGGGAGGGAGGGAGGGAGGGAGGGAGGGAGGGAGGGAGGGAGGGAGGGAGGGAGGGAGGGAGGGAGGGAGGGAGGGAGGGAGGGAGGGAGGGAGGGAGGGAGGGAGGAGAGAGAGAGAGATGGGAGGTGAACAGGGCCCTTTTAAAGGGGAACATAGTGAATGTATACAGGTGGCGCTCTTAGTGGCTACAGCTGAGGACTTATCCTGTCAGAGCCCCAAGAGCAGGCCAGTACAGGTGCCTGAATACTAACACCTAGCATGTACAAAATGCTAGGTTCAATACTCATTACTACAACAACAAAAAACATGGAAATATAAAAGTCAGAAAAGCATGATACATTAAAAAAAAAAAGTGGTGCATGTGCCGGTCTGTGGTGGCGTAATCCCAGCACTCGAGAGGCAGAGGCAGGCAGATCTCTGTGAGTTCAAGGCCGGGCTGGTCTACAAAGTGAGTGCCAGGACAGGCTCCAAAGCTACACAGAGAAACCCTGTCTCAAGAAACAAAAATCAAACAAAAACAAAAACAAAAAACGGTGCATGCATGTACACAACTGTGATAATGAATATTTAAAACAATAATAAAATACAAGGCAACAGTAAAACTAGAGAGAGAGGAAGGTGGATAAGCAAGAGTCACTTCAGTCAAGCACTGGCTTCACCAGCAGTCCTACACTGATATTACCTCTGAAATTAAAGTTTCCAGAGCTTTACAATGAAATTTATGTCAAATTAATTTCTGGGACTCAATGAAGCTGAAAATGAATTCATAATGAGGTGCATTTAGCAGGAGTGTGTAGGGGCATGGAGGGGGTGATCAAAGAGGTCCCCTTCCTGCCGTTAGCTCTAATTTCCTGATTATGACACCTCTTCCTCTCACACAACACATAATCTAAGAAATGATATGCTTTTACAATTACTGTATATGCAGGGTGTGTGACCAAATGGAAGCTGAGTATTGCTGTGTTATTATGGATCAGCATTATTATTAGTTGGGAATCAACAATGTTCATAATCTTGAGGTATAATGAAAAGAGTTTTTGAGCTAGAGATTAATACTTTAATTTAGGCATACTTATAATTCTAATATAATGCATACACCCTGAGAAAATGATTATCTCGGAGTGGAAAAATTCCTTAAAATATATGCTTCTGCTTCCCTCTCTTTCCAACTGCAGGCCAACAGGAAGGAAGTTAGTATTTCCTATCAAACTGTTCATGTTTTTCATGTACGATGTTGATAGAATTTGAAGTCTAGTTTAAAGAAATTTAGTTTTTTTCATTAAAATTGTCCTGTAATGAGCCAGGCATGGTGTTGCATGCCTGTAATCCCAGCACCAGAGAGGTGGAGGCAGGGGGATCTGGAATTCAAGGCCCATCTCAACTAAATAGCAAACTCTAGGCTAGTCGAGGATACCTGAGACTGTGTCTCAGAAAAACAAACAAGCCCAAATGTTCTGTAAACCTTCTTAAAATTCATGTCATCTCTTTACTCCATTTGCCATGCATTCATACCTTCATTTCACAAGCATCGCATCTGGGCTAAATGATTTTTTTTAAAAAGGGAACTTACTGTTCAATCTCATTCAAATCTCAGAATTCTGAGACAGGCGTTGGAGCTCTCTCTTCCTAAACAACACATTGAACAAGGCACACACGACTAACAGTGCCTATGTCCTAAGCAAGCTTGCCACTATGTGAAGTTGCCTACTAACTAAACGGCATAGCCAAGCCATCCCTGGGCAAACTGTCTGGGGAGTAGCCTATAGGTTACAAGGAACAGCCACCAGAACAGAGCCCCACAAAACAAGGTGTGTTATGTTGCTGCTTTACTGATAGAGACAGAGCACTCACCTCTATCAGGACATGTGGTATCATCTCTCTGAGGAACAAACACTCTTCCAGCAGCCAGTGAGCGAGCGACTCTTTGTGTGTCATATAGATGCCCTGATATTATTGCATGGATGTTGAGGTATAGATTGAGTATAATAGAATCAATAATACAGGGCAGCAGATAATTATCTATTCATAGATAATTCACAAGGCAGCCATGGCTTCGGAGCTGTCAGTTATCATCTCTGTCATCTGCTAGGAAAGCATCCTAGACCTGCTCTAACAGTTCAGGTCGCACTACCTCTGCCCCAGGGGGTGGGAGAGGGTTTCCTAGCTGCATCCCTTCTAGTTCTGCCTACTCTGCCTCGACTTCTCCTTGTAACATTGTTTACTTTTCTTTCTTTATCAATGTTTCGTTTCTTTATCTAAACCCCCCAAGCCCCTTTATAGATGAAACCATAGTATAATCATGCAGAGAATGAGCTAAATTAACTTTAAAAGCTCATTTATTCGCCCTTACCACGAACATAAAATCTACTGAACTGCTGCGTTTTTAACTAGACGTGCTAGATATTTCTTTCCACCTCTCGGAATATACAAAACCTAATTAATAAATATTCAGTTAGACGTCTATAAAATATAATATCACTCACTCCATTGATTGCTCAATGGGTTATTTATAAAATTTCCATCGTTTGTGAAAACAACTTGAGTATGAGTTAGACATTCACTCGACCAAGAATTCTTGAATGTACACAGACATTGCCAAGAAAGTCAGCCAATTACAACAAGAGCTGTTGTTCCATTCTATAAAGCACTAGGTACCTTACATATTCACAAATAAAAATACCCCCTTTTCCAGGAACAAGAACATGACATGTAAAACAAGCCACTGCTGGGTGAAACACAACACCCGCAAAATCAGCAAATCAGGCATAAAATATTTACAGGCTTCCAGTCGCCCAGGGTGAGTTACCTGGAGAATTGCGGTCGACTCCTGAATCCCACACTTTCTGTCCCTGCACAGCCCTCCCTGTGCCACCCCAGACTGCTTGGCACTGCCCCAAGCCTCCCAGGACTGCTCCAGGAGTCCCACTATTGCCCTGTTCTAATTTCACTTCTGTTGCTGTAATAATATACACTGGCAAAAAAGAAGTTTGGGAGGAAAAGGAGCTTCTTTCAGATTATATTCCAAGTTACTGTCCATCAAACAGAAACTTCTAACATCTGGTCATATCATATGCACAGTGAAGAGCAAAGAGGTGTGCAAACATGCTCACTGGCTTGCCCAGTAGTTCTCAGTTTACTTTCTCCACGCTTACCGATTAGGACCACTGCCTTAGGATTAGTGTTGTCCACGTTGGGCAGGCTCATCCCACATCAATTAACTTAATTATGAAAATCCCCTGAAGACGCACCCACAGTGGCCAACCCACTGAAAGCACTTGAGGGCCTGGGTAGACGGTTCAGTGGGTCAGAGCACAAGCTATAAGAACATGAGGGCCCATGTTGCCTGCAGAGGTGGCCTAGATGATGCTGCAACATCAGAAATAGGAACCATGGCACTCACCTGATACAGGCTTCATATGAGCACCTGCTGCAGAAGCCCTACTCTGCCCTGTGCTCACTCACCACCAGTGATGGCCACAAAACCACCTGCAGGACCCCGCTGCATACCATGCCTGTTAAAGCATACACAGAGATTATTATCTTCTTTTAGTGTTTGGAAATGGCACTTCATTGTACTCTTGGTCCTTTGTAACAGGAATCAGAGATTTTGCCATGAAACCAGACAGTTTTGAAGTACAACCTTGGCTGACATTCTTTAGGTGCTGTCTACATTGCGTTTTGAGATAGGGTCTTTCTTTAACTTGGAACTCACCAAGCAGGCTAGGCTAGCTGGCCTGTGAGGCCCAGGGATCCTCCTGTCTCCACCTCCCCAGAACTAGGGTTACAAGTGTGTGTGA